AGCCGCACTATGCGAAATATTGCTGTATATGAAAATTGGAGTGAGTATAAAAACATTTACATCCTTTTTTTTCAGTTCACGCATATTTATTTTTAGTTTCATGAAAAATAGTTATTAAATGTGCAGTTTAGTATGGGTAATCGATTCCGGCAATATCCGGGATTGTTTGAAACCGGACTAATTGAGGAACTAAATAAATACCTAAATAAACCACACAAAAATATTCATTTTTTGTATAGAATTGTAGTGGAAGTTTCAAACTTCAATATAGTTGGACTGATCGAAGCCGCACTATGCGAGGTATTGATGTATATGAAAATTGGAGTGAGTATAAAAAAATTTTCAGCATTTTTTTTAAGTCCACGCATATCTATTTTTATTTTCATGAAATGTACAGCTTAGTTTGGGTAATCGATTCCGCCAATATCCGGGATTGTTTGAAACCGGACTAATCGAGGAACTAAATAAATACATAAATAAACCACACAAACAGATACATTCATTTTATAGAATTGTATTAAAATTTTCAAACTTCAATATAGTTAATCCGGACAGATTGAAGCCGCACTATGCGAGGTATTGCTGTATATGAAAATTGGAGTGATATGAAAACTTTTGCATCCTTTTTTTTTCAGTTCACGCATATTTATTTTTAGTTTCATGAGAAATAGTTAATAAATGTGCAGTTTAGTGAGAGTAATCGTTTCCACCAATATCCGAGATTGTTTGAAACAGGACTAATTGAGGAACTAAATAAATACATAAATAAACCCCACAAAAAAATTCATTCATTTTATAGAATTGTAGTGAAATTTTCAATCTTCACCATAATTAATCCGGACAGATAGAACCCTCACTGTGCGAAATATTGCTGTATATGAAAATTGGAGAGAGTATAAATACTTTTAAAACATTATTTTTTCAGTCCACGCATATCTCTTTTTAGTTTCATGAAAAATAGATATTAAATGTGCAGTTTAGTGAGGGTAATCGATTCCGCCAATATCCGGGATTGTTTGAAACAGGACTAATTGAGGAACTAAATAAATACCTAAATAAACCACACAAAAATATTCATTTTTTGTATAGAATTGTAGTGGAAGTTTCAAACTTCAATATAGTTAATCCAGACTGATCGAATCCGCACTATGCGAGGTATTGATGTATATGAAAATTGGTGTATAAAAAAAATTTCAGCATTTTTTTCAAGTCCACGTTTGCATTCTTTTTTCAGTTCATGCATATTTATTTTTAGTTTCATAAAAAATAGTTATTAAATGTGCAGTTTAGTAGAAGTAATCGATTCCATCAATATCCGGGATTGTTTGAAACCGGACTAATTGAGGAACTAAATAAATACATAAATAAACCACACAAAAAGATACATTCATTTTATAGAATTGTATTAAAATTTTCAAACTTCAATATAGTTAATCCGGACTGATTGAAGCTGCACTATGCGAGGTATTACTGTATATGAAAATAGAAGTGAGTATATAAACTTTTTCAGCATTTTTTTTTCAATCCACGCATATTTATTTTTAATTTCATGAAAAATAGTTATTAAATGTGCAGTTTAGTAGAGGTAATCGATTTCGTGAATATACAAGATTGAATAAACCAAACACAAATATTCATTATTAATCCGGACTGATCGAAGCCGCACTATGCGGGGCGAGGTATGAAGATTGGAGTATGTATAAACACTTTTTCAGCCGTTTTTTCAGTCCACGCATATTTATTTTTAGTTTCATGAAAAATAGTTATTAAATGTGCAGTTTACTAGGGGTAATCAATTGCGCCAATATACGGAATCGTCTGAAACCGGACTAATCGAGGATCTAAAGCCGGACTATGCGATGTATTGCTGTATATGGAAATTGGAGTCTTTAATTAGTATTTCTTTAATGAGTAATGTCGTGAGTCCGCTTTGTATTTCAGTTAATCAAAATGATACGGATCTATATGAACAGTGTAAAGCTGATGAATATAAATGGCTTATTAACACCTCAAGAAATAAAAGTCACCATTTCAAGTCGAGTTGTTCCGTTTTTTGTTCGTTAATTAAAATTTTATCCAGTTCGAAATATAATTATAAATAATAATTGTTATTTCCGTCCGTTTACATTTATAATAAATACGAGTAAATTGATTTAATATTTACAATTCCATTAAATTATTGGATAATGATTGATTCAATTTAATAATGACGTATTTTATACGCTTCAATTATTTTAATCGCCGCTTTCATTTCAGCATTTTTCATGCCACACATATTTTTTTTGCAGGAAAAGAAGTTATGGGATGAATTTTATTATAGCGCTTATTTTTCAGCATTTTTCATGTCAGGCATTATTTTCAGGAGAAGCAGTTTCAGAATGAACATTTTGGCTGAATGAAAAATTAAGAACATTTATTTAATCAGTTTTTTTTTTCAGTTCATCAAATATTATACGAATTCTAAATAAACAGTGATAATATAAAAAATTATAAAATCTATTTATTCAAAAATAATATACGCAAAATATATAAACTTTTACAAAGGGTATTAATTATAATTTTTTTTAGCCTTTTTTATAATTTAATGAGAGTGTTTTATAAAGTGTTGCTAATAAATTTGTTTAAATAAAAAAATACTAAAAAATTCTATGCGTTTTCATTTATAATAAATATGATTAAACTGATTTAATATTTGGAAATTGATTAAATTTAATAATAATGTAATTTATGCGCGTCAATTACTTTTATCGGCGCTTTTATTTCGGCATTTTTCACGTGTTGTATTTTTTTTAACGAATTCAGTGGGAAAATGAAATTTTGTAGAGAAAAACTAAATCATTTATAATTAACATTCATTTAATGAGAGTAAAGTTTGTTTTTAATTAATTAAAAAAATAATAATGATACAAATCTATGATGTAAAGGTGATTAATTATTAAGAAACATGATTCAGCTTTTCAAGTCGAGCATAATCGTTTTTTTTGTTAGTAATTAACATTTATTGATTCCGGAATAAAATTATAATAATTACGTTTTTTGTAAGTTTTTTTTTTTAATAAAGTAATTTAAAATATCTTTTTCTTATTCGTCCGCAAAAAAAATAATTAATTCTCATTAGAAATACGCATAAATAGAATATTAAATAATTTAATAAAAATTAATAAAAAAAATAAAATTGGGTTTTCAGTGAAATTATCTAAATATATTCTGAATACAATTTTACTGCAAATTTATATAGTGATAATTTTTATGTAATGTTTTTATATAAGGTAAATTATAATTAATTACCTCGCATAGTGCTGGTAATCTGTTTGAACCCGTACTAATCGAGATCTTTAACTCACTGGACTTGAAAACATTAATGCATCTTCGATTTTTTTTTTAATTTGTGTTAATTCTGTTCAAATCCGCACTGATCGAATCTGCACTATTCTAGGATTGAAATAATTGAAAAAAAGAACAAATTTGATTTATGTGATATTACCAATGTTAAATTAGAAGTAAAAACTATTAATTTTGATGTATATATATTTTTATTATGATATTCGACTTACGAACAAAGTTGTTAAACAAAACCGTGTCGTAAGTAAAAAAGTTTAAAGGTAATGTTCCAAAAATGCATTCAAAGTTCCAAAAAGAAGTTTTTCCATTTTTTTTTCATCATTAAGATTTATTGATTTGAAATTATAATTAATTAGCAGCAATAACTTCGCATAGTGCGGGTATTCGGTTCTGTCAATATCCACCACTGTTTGAAACCGTACTAATCGGGATTTGTAATTGACTTGACCTGAAAACGATAAATATAAAAACGAGTATGTTGTGTACATTTTTTTTAAATTCGTGTTAATTCTATTCAAATCCGCACTGATCGAAGCTGCACTATTCTAGGATTGAAATAATTGGAAAAAAGAACAAATTTGATTTATGTGATGTTATCAATGTTAAATTAGATGTAAAAACTATTAATTTTGATGTATATATATTTTTATTATGATATTCGACTTACGAACACAAAACCGCTAAAATTATAAAGGTGATGTTTTTATATTTAAATAATTAAAAGTTCCAAAGAGAAGTTTTCCATTTGTTATTCATCATTAAAATTTATTGATTTTAAATTTTATTTTAGCCGGACTATTCTAGGTTTGAAATAATTGAAAAACAACATTTCATAAAAATAATTATAAGAAAAAGCTATTAATTTCGAAGTATATATATGTTTTATGATATTCAATTTAAGAACAAAGCTGTGAAACAGAGTAGAGTCGTAAGTCAAAAAGTAATGATTTAAGTAATTAAATTTTTTAAGTGCATTAAATGAAGTTTTTCTGTTTTGTTCGTAATTAATATTTATTGATTTTAAATTGTAATTATAATAATAATTAGTTATTTCTGCGCGTTTCCATTAATGATAAACAAAAGTGACGTGATTTAATATTTGCAGTTCAATTAAATTGTTTAATAAATATTCAATTATACGTGATTCGGAAATGATTGAATTAATCGTGAAAATAGGATTATTTGGTGCGATTAAATTAAATACATGGATTCGCGTTAGAAATTCGCGAAACACTCGTGTTGTTTGTTTCGATTACTTGCGGACATAACGCGCGTGGAATCCATTAGCTGCAGTATTTTAGGGGATGGTTGGAAGGATAAACAATTTTATGGAGTGTGAATGTTCGGATTCAAAACAACAATATTGACAAAGGGACATCACGAGCTGCGAACTGCACGTCCGACCTGAATTATGCAGGTCCCAGTTGACGTCTGTGTAATTAGTCCCAGCCCTTCCGCCTTTTCCCCGAGGGAAGATTGAAATATCAGAGGGGTGGCGTGGCGCGAAAGATGCGGGAAAAGGGACATCCAAAAAGCTCGTAAAATCTGAGAAGAGACAATAATTCCACCAACACTCTGAACCACTCGAGATGGCTGAGTTTGGGAAGTGAAAGGGAACTAATCTAGAGGGCTCAGTCTTAACGACATCAAGATTTTACCTGGGCAATCTGGTTCTCCGCCATTAAGAACAACAACTATCAACTACTCCGGGAAAACCGCAACCCAAACACCATCCGTTTCGTCGCAACGCCGAAGGGTGAAAATCCTCAATGTCAAAGAGCAAATCCGCATGTGTTAAATCCGGAGCGCGCGGGTTGTTGGTTGGAGAAGGGAGGTTGCGACCAGTTTCTGTGTAAGTGTGTACACTCGCAGATTTACGCGCGCCAAATTCGAGGATCGAGAGGAGGTTTGACGTGAGCGTCGCGACGCCCGGTTTGATACTAGGGGGGACGGCGTCTATCCAGACTGTGCCTACCCCTACCTACTAGACTGAATCGATCATCAAGCGGCGAAGGGCTTTTGCGCCGTCGCCGAAATAAATATATATATAGATATATATTAGAGCTTATTCTTTTGCTAAGGAAAATACATATAATAGGGGGGGAAAACCGTTGTAATAATTTTTTGATGGCACCGCGACGTTCCCTGACATGAGAAACGACGTGACATTCCGTGAGTCCTCCGCACAATGCACACACTCCATTTGTTAGACGAAACTATTTGAGGGATGGAAGGATCGGGAGAGAAGGAAAGAAGAGAAAAATATATCTATATATATATACAAGTAAAGCGCAAGGACTTTTTTTTGCCTGTAAACTGGGTTAATATCGCTTTTTGGGGGGACACCGCTAAAATGGAATTTGAATGGATTATATATGTACCCACAACGATCGTCAGGGACGAAAAGCACAAAGTTTACCGAAAAAAAAAACTTTTTTTCTAACTTACTTGTAAAACGGTATCAAAGAACCGTACGTTCCGACGGAATTTCAATTCTTTATATTAATTCACATTGAAATTTTCTTGAAATCTTGATATAATTAATTTTAAATGTAACGAAAAAGTTCAATTTATGAAGAAATAATTATATAAATCAGTAATTTCAATTTAGTAAATCCTTTATTATAGTTTGAGTTACTCTTCAGAACTTACTACGAATCTTATAATCTTTTAAAAAGCACGAAGTTTAATACAAAAAATACACATTTAATTCATTATATTAATTCTCATTAAAAACTATTTATTTATATAATTATGTATTCAAACCATAATTACTTAAATTCTTGAAATCTGGATATAATAAATTTTAAATATACCGAAAAAGTTCAATTTATGAAGAAATAATTATATAAATAAGTAATTTCAATTTAGTAAATCCTTTATTATAGTTTGAGTTACTTTTCAGAACTTACTTCGAATCTTATAATCTTATAAAAAGCACAAAGTTTAATACAAAAAATACACATTTAATTCATTATATTAATTCTCATTGAAAACTATTTATTTATATAATTATGTATTCAAACTATAATAACTTAATTTCTTGAAATCTTGATATAATTAATTTTAAATGTACCGAAAAAGTTTAATTTATAATGAAATTAATATGTAAATCAGTAATTTCAATTTTCGAATCTTACGAAAAACACGAAATTTACAACAAAAAACATTTTTTTAATTTATCTGTATCAAAAACATCAACTTCTGACGTAATTTCAATTAATTATATTCATTCTCATTTTTATTCTTATAAAATTATATGTTCACAATATAATTACAGAACTTCTTGAAATCTTGATATAATAAATTTTAAATATACCGAAAATGTTCATTTTATATAAAGAAATAATTATGTAAATCAGTAATATTAATTTTAAAAATCCTTTATTATAGTTTGAGATACTTTTCAGAATTAACTTCGAATCTTATAAAAAGCACAAAGTTTAATACATTTTTTTTTAATTTGCATAATTTAATTTACATAACGATATCAATGAACCTTACGTTTCGACGGAATTTCTATTCTTTATATAAATTCTCTTTGAAAAATATATTTTCCTCTATTAAATTGTGTATTCAAAATATAATTATCTAACTCCTTGATATCTTGATATAAATCATTTGAAATATATCGCAAACGTTCAATTTACAATGAAAAGAATATGAAAATCAGTTAGTAACTTCGAGAAATACAAAAAGCACAAAGTTTACGACAAAAAATACTTCCAAAACGGAAATTCAAATATAGCGAAAAAGTTCAATTTATTAAAGAAATAATTATGTAAATCAGTAATATTAATTTTGTAAATCCTTTATTATAATTTGAGATACTTTTCAGAATTAACTTCGAAAATTACAAAAAGCACAAAGTTTATTACAAAAAAAAAACTTTTTTAAATTACATGCAAAACTGTATCAAAAAACCTCATGTTGCTACAGAATTTCAATTCATTCTTATTGAAAAATATTTTTTCTTTGTACAATTGTGTATTAAAGCTAACTTCTTCAAATCTTGACATAATTCATTTGAAATATAGCGAAAAAGTTCAACATATAGAAGAAACAACAAAGTTAGTAACTTGTTTTTAATCAAATGTGTAGTAAGTAGTTAGTAAAAACAAACATCGAAAATGCATACAAATTGTGAAAAGTAAATACGAATTTTTAATTTATATTTCTAATCAATATTTTTTTGCAGATTTTGAATACATATAAATTAATGTTAAGTTTTCGTGTATAGTTGATCAATTATATATTTTTCTGAATTGATTCAAATTACTTTCAGCATTTTCAAAAAATATAATTCAAGTATCCGTAATTGATATAGTTTTAAGCATAATATCTTGTTTTAACAATTATTTTAAATTTAGATAAAATTGAGGTGACTTTGTAATTACCTTACGGTTTTGACTATGATAGGATGTCTTTGGTTTGGAATGGGATCAAAGTTATCCTGTTTAAATAATGATCGGTCACAGGACTCTGGCCTTAAAAGCAATTGGGGAAGGCAACTTGGACTAGAGAAGCCGCAGTTTGCAATTTAAAGTGGGGAATAAATGGATTGTGGTTTAGTCTTGACCACACTTAAATCCTTAGTCCCATTCATTATTATATTCCTTTAATTATTTACATTGATTATCATAGCGTTACATCAAACATTTCCAACAAAATCGATCAAACTATATACCAATTAATAATTTATAAAGTAATGCATATTAAATTTATAATTTCGATTCCATAATAATTGTAAACAGGATTGATGTAATTAGTGGAAAATTTATTTTAGTATAATATAATGATGTTGGTGAAGAACTGATATTCGGAACACTGGTGGGTCGAGCTAATTCTATAGTTGACGAGGTGTGTGAAATTGGGGCCAATTAAGTTCTGAAGTCCATGCGCCGATAATTGGTATTTAAATAATTGATTCGGGTTTATTTGAAATTTCCCGCTTTACCCAAAGTTCCATATATACAAAATTGAGGTCGTAATTGACATACCGTGTTAAAAATGACATTTCACAACGCATAATTTCAAACATTTATACTCCGTTCTGTAGTTTCATCCTACAGTTAATTATTTACAATTATCGATTTGGGACAAAGAAAATTTGTTTCATGAAACTTTATTGTTCTAAATCAGAAAGTTCAAACAACTTCAATAATTTCGTCATTTTTAAGTACCAACTAAGTCTATTTATGTCATTTCTCAATGATAACTGTCAATAATTGCATCATGTCTAAGCTTTTTCTATCGACAGTTAATAGTTACGTCATTTGTCAATAATAACTGTCAATAGTTATGTCATTTCTCAAAGATAATTGACTATTGACAGATATTTTTTCTTAATAACTGACAATAGTTATATCATTTGTTAACAATAACTGTCATTAGTTATGTAACTTCTCAAAGATAACTGAAAATTGACAGTTATATTTTTTAACAATAACTGACAATAGTTACATCATTTGTCAACAATAAATGTCAATAGTTATGTCACTTCTCAAAGTTAACTCACTATTGACAGCTATATTTTCTTAACAATAACTGACAATAGTTATATCATTTGTCAACAATAACTATCAATAGTTATATCAATATTAACTCACTATTGACAGCAATACTTTCTTAAAAATAACTGACAATAGTTATATCATTTGTCAACAATAACTATCAATAGTTATGTCACTTCTCAAAGATAACTGACTGCCAATACTTATCTTTTCTTGACAATAACTATCAATAATTACGTGACTTTACATAACAATAAATGACAGTTAATGTTGAGAAATAATGTATCTATTGTTAATCAAGGCTTAGAAATGAGGTAAATCAATAATATTAATTAATTTTAGTTCGTTAAATTTATTAAGATTATTAATTTTAAGTGTAAGATCTTCATTATTCAAATATTTTCCTGTGACTTCTGTTACATTTCCTGAATGTTGAATAGAAAGACTTTTCTACTGTAATAAATTATGGAATAATATAACAGTTTAATGAAACTTATTTCAAGAAATATATGTTTATTTCATTTAGTTTTTGTTTTATTGAGAATGTCTGAAGCTGACGCTTTATTTCTATTCAAAATTAAAGTTAGGCGTCTGCTGCAGGGTTAATCATTTTCATTTATTTGGCATTGTTTTGCAGCCGGTTTCCTTCTGTGTATTGCATCAAGAAAATCTAGTGTGTGTGTGTGTCGAGTTTTATGGAAATTGCCGCAGGTCGCGTGGAAATGTCCAATAAAAACACACACTTAACTGTCCATGCATTAGTGAACAGGAAATAAGCGAAATTTCCCAGAGTATAAATATTTCCTCTTGTGCTTTTTCTCTCCGCTCGCAACAAATACTTGAATACTACATATTTATAGGTCTTTGTGACCTTGTGCTCCAGGAAACGCGTATTGTAATGCACATCCGATAATCGTATTGTATATGAAACAAAGCCAGAAATTTTAACATTTATTTTTATTATACAAAACAGTTTTGCCTTCAATATACGCAAAGAGATGAACCATTGCTGCTTTCCAAACAACAGAGATAGTCCATCGAAGTACATTTTTTTGTTTCTCGTCTATTTTGTTTCAACGCTAATGAGATTACTTTATAAATGCCATCATCCTGTGATGTGCTCACAGTCGGATGATGTGGATGTAGCGAAATTGCCGCAGGATCTCTTCTCATTTTTTTTCTTTCCAGGTGAATGGATGCGATTCTGCCACGGATCTGGGGCACAAGGATAAACAATGCTGCACGTCTAGTTATGATTCATTTTAAGCAAACCTAAAATGAAATTACGCTGGAACCGATGCACTGTTTAATTTTAATTGGATTTATGGTGGCCTTTTGTTTCATATGAGAGAGAAAGAGAGAGATTTTCCTTCCTTCCGTTTCTTGTTGTTGTTGTTGTTTGTACCTTTCATTTTGCAGGCTGCGTTTTTG